ATAAGTATTTAAAACAAACATCAATCGAAGTAGCAGGCTTAGAAAGGGTAAGTTCTACTAGTCGTCGGTTTATAATTTACAATGAACCGACAAAATTAAACAGTTGGTTAGTCTTTATAACCCATCATAAATGTTTGTTACTAAATAGCTACGACTTTAGGAATTAGAAAGCCGTCAGAAATTGTGCTTCACGAATACTGTCGATATCCTGTCAGAATTTAGTCCGATATTTTTGACGCAAGAGAAGTATTTGGTTATTCCGTCGGCATTAGTTGCTTTTTCTGTTGTGTTTTACATGTTCTTCACTAAGGATCTCTAATCAAACACATAACATATAACTTTTGTGTCTGTCACTATTGTATACTCATATAAATCTAAATTATAAATCAAATTATATTGTTGATTAAAATCAAATTATAATCTTGATTAAAATCAAATTAAAGTTGTCATCGAACAATGAATTGATATAAGCCACCGAGCTTAAAAGTCAATACTAAGTCAACGTTCAGAATTGAGCATTGAAATTTGATTGAGATAATTAATAATTCATTTACTCACAAAGAGCGCTTGCCTAAAATGTTCATCAACCTTCTGAGTGAATTTGCTTTGAGCAACCATTGATTGACAACGAATATTTACCTACTCGCTCAAAACAATTTTATATCAAAACTACTCACCTAATGAACATATCATAATAGAAGGGGAAATCTTCAACCTTTTGGGTGCACCCAATATATGCTCATGTCCAACTTGGCTGTAGCTGCCTTCAAGACACCATATAGAATCCCCCTTCGTACGGCAAATTATAGCAAAATTGACCTATGGCATTAACTCAATTGTGTTTATCATTATCATAAACTATACATAACTAGGGCTGTCAAAACGGCTCGTTATTCGCGAACAGCTCGTGTTCGGTTCTTTAATTTCGTTCGATAAGTTAACGAGCCGAACACGAACTAAGATGTGTTCGTTCATGTTCGGCTCGTTTTAAATCTTGCTCAAACCCTTATTGTCTTATGGCGACATGATTAGGGTTGTTTAAAGGACTCTTTGTTCGTGAAAAACTCGTGTTCGGCTCGTTAAGCAAACGAGCCGAACACGAACACACTTTTTGAGCTTGAAATATACACGAGCCAAAGGCTCAACTCGTGTTCGGCTCGTTTACACCCCTATACATAACCACCTCATTTTGAGCTTAAAACTTATTTCTCACTTATAAATTGTACTTGCTAA